TTTCAGCATGTGTGGGGAACGAATGTCTGGTGTGGGCTTTTATGTGGTAGATTACTAGGTCCTTACTTTTACAACGGTACTCTGACAGGAAGGAGATACCTAGACTTTTTATCAAATACACTACCAACATTTTTGGATGAATTCAACTTAGATACCCGCATGAATTTATTTTTCCAACAAGATGGGGCACCCGCCCATAATGCAATAATTGTTCGAGAATAACTTAACCAAACATTTGGCCATAAATGGATAGAGACATATGGTCCAGTACAATGACCTTTTAGATCTCCTGATATAACATCATTAGACTATTTTTTATGGGGACATTTAAAAACAGTAGTTTATGCTAATCCGCCTATTAATCTTGAAGATTTGAAAAATAAAATAATCATTGCGTGTAGTGAACTCACCGAAGACCAAATAATAACAGCTACACAAAGAGAACTACTGCGACGAATGGAAGCATGCGTTGAAAATAATGGCAATAACTTTGAACAGTTCATTGAATAATAAATTATCGAATTTAGGGTCACACGATCGAAATATTTCCTGTTACCTTTAAAATAGAACACACGGTATACCGAACCAAAAATTATTTAAGTCCACTGATATTGAGAACATAATACAACAACTTCCACCCCCCCCTTTCTCCTCCTGAGAGATTTCAACAGTCATGGCTTAAGCTGGGGATCGGACAAAACCGATGACCGGGGAAAACAAATAGAAAAAGTCCTCGAGACTGACAACATTATACTACTCAATAGCGGTGAACCCACCCGACTCAATCCCTCGAATGGAAAATTCTCAGCGATTGACCGATCATTATGCAGCTCAAACCTTACCCAACGCACTTCATGGTCAACCCTTCCCGAAATATACGACAGTGATCATATCCCAATCAAGATCGAGCTTCTTTCTAGCAAAGCAACCTCACCTACATCTCCCGACAAATGGAAACTCAAAAATCCCAACTGGAATCTCTTCTCCCAACTAGTCGAAGCCTATGTAAACACAAACCCACCTCCACCAAATGGTCCGATCGAAAATGACGTTGCCCACATAACCAATTCTATAACTAATGCAGCACACATATCAATTGGAAAAACAAATGTCACTTTAAACAACCCTAAAGTTCCTTGATGGAACCCCCAAATCAAGCTATCTATTAAGGAAAAGAATATCGCATTAAAACGGTTCCAAAAAACGGGAAAAATCGAGGATCACATACTCCTAAAAGAACTTCGTGCAAAAACTAAATTCCTCGTAAAACACAGTAAAGCATCCTCTTGGAAGAACTTCACTTCTACCATAGGCCCCAAAAGCGACCCCAGCTCTGTATGGAGCAAAATCAGATCTTTACGAGGCAACAGCAAAGAAAAACAGACCCACATATTAAATGACAATATTCTCCTCACCGATCCAATCGAGGTTGCTAATCTTCTCGGTAACCATTTCTATTTGAACAGTTCGGACAACAACTACAATGAATCATTTCTTATTAATAACCAGACCAGTAGACAGCATTTGCTCCAACCCAACTTCAGCCCATTAAATCAGGATCAACACCACCTAAACATCCCCATTAGCGCTAAGAAGCTAAACTGGGCTTTTTCCAAATGCTCTAGCCTCTCTCCTGGACCTGATGAAATCCCCTACAGCTTCTTACACAACCTACCTTCATCAGCAATACAGTTCCTCCTCCACCTGTACAACAAAATATGGAATACCGGACAAATCCCAAAATCTTGGAAACACGCTATTGTCATCCCGATCTTAAAACCAGGGAAGGAAAAATTTAGCACAGAGGGATATAGACCAATATCTCTCCTCAACACAATGTGTAAAATACTTGAAAAGATCATCGATTCGCGACTGAGATGGTTTCTCGAAAAAATTCGCTATCTTTCTCCACAACAAAATGGTTTCCGTAAACACAGGAGCACATACAACAGTCTACATAAAATCCAAAAAGACATAACTAAGTCCCCAGAAACCAACCAAGCCTTGGGACTTGTCGCCCTCGACATAGCGAAAGCATATGACACCTCATGGCGCCCCCGGATAATCGAACAATTACAAAAAATCTTATGTAACGGTAACCTACTGCTCTTTGTCAAACATTTCCTGGAAGACAGATCTTTCCAAGTCAAAATTAACGGTCATCTCTCTTCAATCTTCAATCAAGAAAACGGAGTACCACAAGGATCCACTCTCTCAGTCACCTTATTCCTTGTAGCCATCAACGACCTCTGCGAAAGAATCAAATTCCCTGTAAAATCTTCTCTCTTTGCAGACGACCTAAACATTTGGTGCTCCGCAAAAAACTCATCCTGCATACAACCATATCTACAAGACACAATATTATCACTTGCGGCATGGTCCGAGACATCAGGATACCGTTTTTCCCCATCTAAATCCCAGAGCATCACATTCACCCGATCTAAAAAATATCCATCATTAGACATTAGAATGAATAATATCCCAATACAAACCTTAAAATCAATTAAAATACTAGGAATCACATTCGACCGCAAAAATACCTGGAACCCACACCTTAAAGATCTCCGAAAAGCAACCATGCTAAGAATGAATATCCTCAAAACTCTAGCTCACACCTCTTGGGGAGCAAACTCCATAACCCTTAAACAAATATACACTTCACTCATTCTATCCAAGCTAGAATACAGATCCTTTCTCTTTTTCAATTCTAAACCATCCAGCCTAAAAATGATCGACACCGTACACAACCTGGGACTGAGATTAGCCTCCGGAGCATTCCGATCGAGTCCAATCCCCAGTTTACTCAACATCTCTTATACTCCACCCCTATGTCTCATAAGAAAAAAAACATCATGCTTTTATCTGCAAGACGAGCCCAGAACAACCTAGACATCCACCACGGCATCAGAACTGAACTCCGAGACTCCAATTTCAATTTCTCTGACATAATTAAACACGAATGTCCGACTACTCCCCCCTGGACTATGGACATCGACATCAACCTCAAGTTGTCTTCCCTCCCGAAAAGCGAAACTACACCAAACTTTTATAAAAGTGAACTTCAATTAATTCTTGAAGGATACCAAGGCCACACTTTCTTTTTCGCGGATGGATCCAAAACAGACGCCGGCGTAGGCGCTGCAGTTACATTCGATGAAACCAGACGAATGCTCAAGCTCCCTGACTATTGCTCAATCTACACGGCCGAAGCCTTGGCCATCTCCCATGCACTAGATATCATAAAACAAGACTCAATAAACAAATCCATTATACTAAGTGATTCCCTTAGTACACTCACAAGCATCCAAAATCACTTCCAACCAAATAGCATATCACAAAAAATTCAGAACCAGATATCATATCTTCAAACCAACGCACCGACTATCTCCATGATATGGATACCCAGTCATATCGGCATACTTGGAAATGAGATAGCAGACACACATGCTAAACAGTCCATCTCATCTCCTCACTCTCTAATCATCGGCTCACATACCCTACAAGACTCAAAACACTCCATTGCTGATTACATTCTAAAAAATATGCAACTCTCCTGGTCAACCCAACGTACTAAACTAAATGAAATCAAACCTAGCATTCTCCCATGGCCAACCACTCCACTTCCCAGGCGTCAAGAAGTAATTCTTAATAGACTTAGAATTGGTCACACATGGTTAACCCACAAACACCTAATGTCCAAAACGAATCCCGAACCCCTGTCTCTCATGCGGCGAAACACCTACAGTCAAACACATCATATCTTCTGTCGTGATCACAACGATGTTAGAACCAACCTCAAACTAGCTGATAATCTCTATGAAGCTCTTGGCCCTGATCCGGACAACACTCAGAAGATATTTATTATTTTTAAATTAACTAAATTATATAACCTAATCTAAACACACCTTCACTCCCCAAGCTTGAATTGTATAAATATCCTTCCTTTTTATCTCCATATGTAAAATTTAACATCAGCCAATAATCTATGTTGTTGTGGCTTAATATTAATATAAAAAAAAAAAATAAAAATAATTTGAACAGTAGTCCTTCATGCCAGATCGGATCAAACGCCTGAGCAACATCAAGAAAAACCCCAGAACAAAATTTTTTTTGTTCAAGAGATGAGGCAATAGTGTCGACTAGTCTGTATAGTTGGTGGAGAGAGGAGTGCTTACTCCTAAAACTTTGTTTCTCGTTAAGTATCGGATAAATTCTTTTTAATATGATTTTTTCTAAAATTTTTGAGAAGGTAGGAAGTAAGCTAATAGGCCTATATGAGGAGGGTTGATCAGGATGTTTTCCTGGTTTATAGATTAGGATGATAACTGAGTGTTTCCAGGTGGGAGGGATATAGGATAGACGAAAAATGCTATTGTAAATATACATGAGAAGTAAGATTGCTTTCTTAGGCAGGTATTTAGCCAGAGCCGTGCAAAGGGGGGGGGCAATTAGGGCAAGTGCCCCAGGGCGGCAAAAGTAGCAATATTTTATAGGGCGGCAAAAAAGTAGGTACTTTTCCATTAGTTTATACTCCAAATTCGCCACGGTCACAAAAATTGAAATATCTACTATCTATTTTAAGATAAAATATTTTATCTACGAAAAATGTGTTGTAAATTGTAATGATTATGGACTGGTGTGTGTGCCTACACTGGCTTGTTGACCTATGGGTGGCGGCAGGGGCGGGTGACTGAACGGGTAATTAGCAAGCTATTTTTAACCATTTTTCGGAAAATTTATTGTTATTGAATAATCGACATGATAATAACTTGATATACTAATATAAATATTTTTATTAATAATAATATGATGGTAAATCGTAAACGGTCTCGCACTGTCGTAGTGTCACACACTATTCAGTATTTCATCATACGATGGAAAGTGACAATTGTACGTACAACGAACTACGAAGGCTTAAGAGTTTATTATAATTTTTACATAGTTTATTTACATTGAGTTATTTTATTATATTCAAGTGGATTATCATTTTATTTTTTAAAATGGCTGATGCAAATAAACGTAAACGTTTAAGTGGTTTTCAGTACAGAAAAATGTCGAAAGCAAAAAAAGAAAGAGAAGAAAATTTAGTCAGAAAAACTACAAAATTAGATACTTATTTTAAAATAAAGGTAAGTGTAAATTTTAAAATTTTAATTTAAATCTTATTTCTTTACTTTAGGGAATAGTGTTTGTGGTTTTAGGAGGGCGAATCTCTTTTGATGCTTTTATATTAGTTTAAAATAATACTAATAATAATAATAACAATTGTGCGAGGCCACAAGGGACTTAAAATATTTACTAGAACAATGTGGTTAATCTTGATTAAAATAAATGTTTGTTAATTGTTTGTTCATTAATATTTAATTTTAATTGATTTAGCCTAATGAAGTTCATAATAAGGTTGTAACAGATACTCCTACATTACAAGTAAATGAAAAAACAGAAGAGATTCATAATTATAAAATTAATGATGACATGACTGTAGACGGTAGTAATAGTTGTGATATTGTAAGTATCAAATAAAAGTTTAGGTATGATTTAATATTTTTGATTTTTATATGTACCTACTTATTATTTATTTAGAATGAAACCAACAAATTACTACAAGTTCAAGCCAAAAACCAGATTAATGTGAGGTGTCCCATGTCTGTTGTAAATGTTGATGGTAAAAAGGAAGTAAGTCAAAACAATAATATAATTTATGTCAAGAAATTAGTAACTGTCAAAGTGCCATAGTATTAACCATTTTTTAAAAAATGTCCTTGTGTAAATTCTTAATATATTTAATATTAAAATTAAGCATTTACTTATAAATATTTTACAATTTTAGGTTAAATGTAATGTAAAAGATACAAATGTTCAATATGATTGCTGGTTTAGTAATGATCCAGCCAAATGGGTTTTGAATGAATCAGAGTTTGATTATTATTCTAAAAATCAAGTAACGACAAATTTAGTGGACATCCAATTTAACAAAACTTTTCGAAGAATTGGTAAATATAATAGGAAATTGCCACGTGAAGCATTTTTCAGAAAATTACTAAATGGCGAATTCAAACATCGTAATTGGCTTTTATACTCTCACTCTCAAAATTCACTATTTTGTTTCTATTGCTTACTTTTTGCTCAGAGAAAAACTAAATTTAGTCGTCCAGGATTTGGGTATATTGATTGGAAAAATTGTTTATTGGATGTTAATCACCATGAAAAATGTATTAAGCATACTGAATCAGTCCGTAAATGGCATTCTAGGCAGCTTGATAACCAATACTGTATAGACAATTCTCTTAAAATAGAAATTAATAAAGAAGAAGAGTATTGGACAAAATTACTTCATCGATTAATTGAAACAATATTATTTTTAGCTACAAGAGGTCTGGCATTTAGAGGAGACAATGAAACAATTGGTTCCAAATTTAATGGAAATTATCTTGGCTGTCTCGAACTCCTATCAAAGTTTGATCCATTTCTCGCTAATCACATTGATAAATACTCTAATAAAGGTCGTGGAAATGTATCTTATTTATCAAGTAGAATATGTGATGAATTTATTGATCTTATGAGTAAAACTGTGTTACAATGTATTGTTAAAGAAATAAAAATTGCCAAATATTTTTCAATAATTGTAGACTCAACGCCAGATGTTACAAAGGTGGATCAATTAACCGTGGCAGTACGGTACATTTGCAAAGATGGTTCACCTGTAGAGAGATTTATAGGGTTTCTTCCTTCAGTTGGTCACAAAGCAAAAGAAATGGAATTGGAACTAATGAAAATGTTTAAAAACTTGGACATTGATATGATAAATTGCAGAGGTCAGTCGTTTGATAACGCTAATAATATGTCAGGCATCTATAATGGTTTACAAGCACGGATTAAGCAAAAATCAAATACAGCAGAATTTGTACCATGCTCAGCCCATTCTTTAAATTTAGTTGGGACATTTGCTGCAGAACTAACCAGCATGGGAAATACATTTTTTTTGAGAGCTCAAAACCTATATACTTTTTTTTCTGCGTCTACCTCGAGGTGGAATACTTTATCGAAAGAGTTAGATCAAATTCCTAATGCTCAACTTCTAAAAAACTTGTGCCCTACTCGTTGGTCATCACGGCACTCTGTTTGTAAATCAATTAAAAATGGATATGTTGGAATTCTCGCTGCTTTAGAAATAATATATAATGATTTAAATCAACGAAATGCAGTTAAACATGAAGCCAAATCAATTTACAATAAAATAAAATCATTAGATTTTGTCTTTCTTTTAGTTGTTTGGACGCCTCTTTTAGAAAGATTTGACAAAACTTCCAAAAGTCTTCAGTTAATTAATATTGATTTGTCGTGTGTAGTTTCTCTATATGATTCATTAGTATGTTATATTCAAGAGCAAAGAAACAATTTTGAAATATTTTTAAGTGAAGCGATAAAAATTAGTGGCATAAACAAATTTTCTTGGGAGGAAACTAGAACTAAACGCAGAAATATATTTTTTGATGAAGAGCCTAGTGGTGAAGTTATATTTTCTAATTCAGACAAAATGAAGAATGAAGCTTTTATTCCTATAATGGATGCATTGATTCTTCAACTAAATGAAAGAAAAGAAGCATATACAAAGCTATGTGACAAATTCGGATTTTTTTCTGATATGGAAAATATTGAGGCAAGTGAACTACGTAAAAAAGCATTAAAGCTTGTGGAGTATTATGTTAATGATTTAGAAGTAGAATTTGTTGAAGAAATCGTTCAATTTAAAAAATACATAATAAATTTTCCCAACGAAACCAAAAACATGCAAGGAATGTTAAAATACCTTAATAATAATCCATCATTAAACACAACTTTTCCTAATGTTGAAATTGCTTTAAAATTATTTATTTGTATGCCATGTTCTAATGCCAGTGGAGAAAGGTCCTTTTGTGTTTTGAAGAGAGTTAAAAACTATTTACGGTCATCATTATCAAATGAGAAAACATCAGCATTATCAATATTATGTATTGAAAATGAAATTGTCAAGAATATCAGTTGGACAAGTCTTGTTAAAAAATTCTCAAAACTTAAAGCTAGAAAAAAAACATTTGTATAAAGTTATTTATAAACTCGTTATTCAATATTATAATAAAAAAAAATGTTGTTATTCATGTTTTTATACATTTATTCTTACTACCTCCTAACCAAATTCATTGTTTATTAATTAAGTTGTTTTACTTGTTTATTTATTAATTATTATAAATATAAATAATTCAATGTGAAGTGACCGGATAATAATAACATTTTGAATAGTTTCGATTTTTGGGGTGCTTTAAGAAAATGTCTAATTTCCCTCCTCTCTCTTACAACCACTTGAGATTAGGGGCGCCAAATTTAATTGCCCTAGGGCGCCACTGATGGTTAGCACGGTACTGTATTTAGCAATAGTATTGGTTATCAGGTCGTTGGCCTGGGGATTATTTTTGCAGTTTTAATGATATTTAGGACTTCAGAGGGAGAATGTTTTGTGGAACTTGTGAAGTGTTTAGAAGTGATGTAATATTGAATAAATGGCCTTCGGTGAAAGTTGGATGTGGTAGGATCTCTTTCAGAATCGATGCGAATAGTTTGTTTTGTATCAAGATTTGACGAGGTAGGAGTTGTCGGAACTACCGTAAGGGAGGTATTTTACTTTTCCTTTAGGATATTTTAGTGGCTTTCAAAGTTATCTGTAATAGAGATTCAAGTAATTTGTAATTTGTCAGGGTATTTTCAGAAAATATTTTTAGGAGTTGTGAGAGTGTTGAAAGTTGAAATGCTTTTTATCGCGGCAAGTGTGTTCTTGCCATATACGGCGGGCTCGACGCTTTCTGTAATAGATTATATTATGTGTGAGGGTAAAACATTGGTTGTGAGTGGTGGAATAGTTGTTTTAAACATCGAGTGCAGCATCTTGGATGATATTTGTGAAAAGGGGTGTAATACGTAACTA